GACAGTAAAAACACAAGCATAACAATTACTGAAATCATTTATTTGATATAATATTTAGTAAATTACAAATAAATTATTTGAAAATAAATTATATAAATTATTTAAACTTGATAAAATAATATAAAATAAATGAAAATAAAATTTAAATAATTAAAATTCAAAAACGTATTTAAAATGATGTAAATACAGAAGAACAGATTATTATTATAGCATTTGCTGTTCTATTACTAATTACAGAGACAGTAAACTAATAAAGATGGAGAGAAGGAGCTCCGGTGCTCAGGCGCCGTCAAAACGCCATCATATCAGCCAAACAAAAACAATTATGAGCCAATGTGGATAATTTAAAAATGCCAATTATATATGGGTATATATGGGTCATCCAGTAAAAGTTATTTCCATTAGTTTACTGTCTTTGTTCGACAATTCACCTAAAAAAAATGCAAATGCTAATACTTTTTTCCTTCATTGTCAGCATTCAGCAAATTAATCCAGTGGTTGATCTTGAGTTCGCATTGTAGCCTGCATAAAAATGTGTGCACCTAATATGATTTTATAAAAAATAAAAATAAAAGTTCAATGCTGTGATATCAAATACGTATTGACCACCGGCCACCAAGATGCCGGCATCAATATCAAACCATATTGATCAAATCTAGAAGACTTGATCACACTCACAAACAAATATACAATGTCTGACCACATCGGATCACATCCAACATCTTCACACACATTAGTAGGTGCTGTGTGCCAATGCTGCTCATTTGCATAAAGTTAAATAGGTGTACTGGACACACCTTCATCACACTGTCAATGATTGCCATCACTCACGTCGCTGGAAATCACCAGCTTTAAATGCAAATGATTGACTATCAAGCCAGCTGCCTTGTTGCTGTAAATCAGTGTATGTGTGATCGTCGCTTTAGGATGTGCCGTCATACAGACACAAAACCTGTCACATCACTGACTGACCGGCCAGAGAGGTCAATGACTTCCGTTTCAGTCATCTTTCCAATCCCACAGTTCACTGAACTATAGTTAATCATTATTCCTCCACAGAGGAACATCCAAATATTAACAAGAGTTCCAACTGACCTGGGGGGGTTACTAAAAGTCTCTCCACAACAAAAATCACATGATTCTGTTAATATTCCAAATCAAAACAAACAAAACAAGGCCTGTGGTTACAGACCTGCTTTAGCTGGTGACTGAAAACACGTGACCATGTCTCTCTCTGCAACATTTTCCCTGGCAGCTCCAACCCAAGAAAACATAACTTTTGCCCGTTTCTAGGAGACCGGAATCCTTACAGAAAGAAAGGCATTGTGGTCTGGAAAGACAAGCGCTGTAAATCCACAGCCTCAGTGGAATTCCAGCATTCCCAGAGAGAGAGAGAGAGAGAGATACCTGACAGGAGAGCACAGCCTAAGCACTAACACCTACAGAGCACCTCACAGACGTCCCGCGCTCTTCTCTTCATTCCTGTGTTTAACTCAGCTGTATATGGAAGCCCGTTTCCGCTGTGGAATAAACATTTTTAAAAGTAATTGCGACCTTTTACCTGACAATTCTGACTTTTTTTTTTCTTTCTCACAATTGCTAGTTATAGAATCAGAATTGCAGGATAACAAAAAAGTCAGAAGTCAGTGACTTTTTCCTCTCAAGAGTTTATATCTCGCAATTCTGACTTTTTCCTCTCAGTTGAGTTTATATCTCGCAATTCTAACTTTTTTCTCTCAAGATTTTATATCTCGCAATTCTGACTTTTTCCTCTCAGTTGAGTTTATATCTCGCAATTCTAACTTTTTTCTCTCAAGAGTTTATATCTCGCAATTCTAACTTTTTTCTCTCAAGATTTTATATCTCGCAATTCTGACTTTTTCCTCTCAGTTGAGTTTATATCTCGCAATTCTAACTTTTTTCTCTCAAGAGTTTATATCTCGCAATTCTAACTTTTTTCTCTCAAGATTTTATATCTCGCAATTCTGACTTTTTCCTCTCAGTTGAGTTTATATCTCGCAATTCTAACTTTTTCCTCTCAGTTGAGTTTATATCGCACAATTCTGACTTTCTCTCAACTAAAAAATGTATATCTCGCAATTCTGACTTTTTTCTCGCAAATTTAGTTATAGAATCAGAATTGCAGGATATAAAGACAGAAGTCAGTGACATTTTCCTCTCAAGAGTTTATATCTTGCAATTCTGACTTTTTTCTCGCAATTGTGAGTTTATCATGCAATTCTCACGTTTTTCTTATAAAGGTCATTGCGCATTGAGTCTGAAATTTTCGTATGCGTTTTTTCGTATACGTCTTCCTGAAAATTCGTCACACATAGAAACCTTGCACACTGAGTCCGATGCATATTAATCCGTTGTGAAAAAATTCGCAAAACAGTACTAAATGGAGTCTTCAAGCAGTGAGGATGATTTTGTTGTCCTCTCGCTTCCTAAAAAGAGCACAAGAAAGGAAATATTGGGTCCATCCACCCAATGATATAGAGATATATCCTGAGATATAGAGAGGAAGGAGAGTTCCTCCTTATTAAGGAGCAGCGGGATTATCACGGGCGATTCAACGTTTACTTCAGGATGTCAATGATCAGTTTGATGCTTTGCTAGCGATGCTAGAGACACATATTAAAAAGAAGACCACCAATTTCTGTGAACTCAGTGTGCAAGGATCTATATACAGTGCTTTGTGCTGCGAGACGAAGTGGATGAACTTGACAATCGCCATTCTGGATTTTGGCGTTCGCTTGTACGGTGGCTCTGAATTGTCAAAACACCTCTCAAAATGTTTGCTACGGATGTGAAAAACGCAGAAAATCAAACCCGATCTGAATTTTTTTTTTTATGACGGATGAAAGTTTCGGAGGCAGTGTGTAAACGTGATTGACACAATGCGAGGTTGTATTTATTTTTCAATGTGCGAAAATGTCGGACGCAGTGTGCAATGGCCTTAATTCTGACTTCTTTTTGCAGAATTGAGATATAAACTCACAAGTAATATAAATGGAAAAATAAACTTAAGTAAATAAACTTGCAAGTCATAAAGTCCAGTTCTGAGTTTGTTCAGTTCGCAATTCAGACTTTGTAATTCACAATTATTCGCGAGTTTCTATCATGCAATACTGAGAAAAAAGTCAGAATCGTGAAAAATCTGAATTGCGAGATCGCAATTACCTTTATTTTTTTATTCAGTGGCGGAAACAGCTTCTTTAAGATCACACTCTGCATAATCAGATCCTGCACAGCTACACAAGCATTGATATTCACAGGAGTGAATGTTGAAATGTAAAACGCTGTGATGTAATAGTATAACTCCATCATGTCACTGTTAATCTCTATTGGGAAACCCTATTTTAGCGTGTGGAAGTCAAGTAAATGAGGTCAAAGTTCAGGTTTTGTCCCGGTCTGCCTGTTTATATCACTCAGCTCAACTGAGGCCCAGACACTTAAAGACCCCATGAAATCAACATTAGCCCATTTTTGTTAGCTTTGTGGTCAACTATGGCAATGTAAACTTCCAAAAAGTTGACAAAATGGTACAGGTAAAGCAAATTAACCATTGAACATGTTCTACTAATGTTTAAAAACCAGAAAGCGTAATTCTGAGCAGTATATGATGTTTTAGCATTTAAAACCCATCTAAAAATCATCCTTTCATGAAATGTTCTGCTTTAAGACACTTAAGTTGATATCGTGTTATGTAATGCAGTGACATTCAGAATTGTCTAAATATGTTTTGGGTCAGTGTACGCATTGAACATTTTACTGTGCCAGCTTGTCTCATAAATGTTGATTCTAGCAATATTCCATATTCAAAATGTTTTTGGGAGCATTCGGGGAATTACAGGATGTAATTTTATATTATACCCTTGCAACTTTTTATGAGACTAATTGCTGCCCTTAATGAATGAAAAGCTTCTCATATTTTATTAAATACATATGAACCTAGCTGTCTACAAAAATAGGGCAATGTACACTACTGTTAAAATGTTTGGGGTCAATAAAAAATATTTTTTATTCAGCAAGTGTGTATTAAATTGTTCAGAAATGTCAAGACATTTATAATGTTACAAAAGATTTTTATTTCACATAAATGCTGTCCTTTTGATCTTTTTATTCATCAAAGAATCCAGGGGGAAAAAATGCATAATTTTTTCCACAAAATTATGAAGCAGCACAGCTGTTTTCAACATTGATAATAATCAGAAACGATTCTTGAGCAGCAAATCGGCATATTATTATGATTTCTGAAGGATCGTGTGACACTGATGACTGGAGTAATGATGATGCAGAAAATTCAGCTTTGCATCAAAATATATTTTAAAATACAATCAAATATAAAAGAGATACTTTATAACAACCAGTATTACTGTTTTTGCTGTATTTTTATATTCAAATAAATGCAGCCTTGGTGAGCATAAAAGACTTCTGTCGCAAACATTAAAACATCTTATTGACCCCAAACTTGGCCATTCCTCCAACAACAGACAGAACAAGTAGCGGGAAACAGACCACTTGGAGAAATCTGAATGAACCGAACTGCAAAGCTCAGTATGTCGAAGTCGCACATTTTAGTTCAAACAACCAATCGGCTTAATGGTAAAGGCCCTACCTTTCCTTACTGCTGTAGAACACACATTAGCTGAAGCAACTGATTTTAGCCAAAGGTAGTTAATCTATGATACCAGTTCTGTCAGAATCCTACTGAAATAAGAGTCAGGACTCAGGGAGTAGTATTGCTCAACACACTAAGATACTCATGCAGGTGACACAGGTTCAAATCCAGCATGCAACACTCCCTGATCCCTGACCTAGTGATCATCTGTCCTCTCTCGTCAATCCATATAAAAAAAAAAAAAAGTGTCAAAAATGCCAAAATTCTTAAAAGTCAAATGTCAGAATCTAAAATGACACACTACTTCCAACAAACCTTGAAACATCAAGAAAGCAGCTCAACACTTGTGATGCAACGCATGTCATCTCAAGCTTACCTGATCTCCATTTGATGATGTCAGTGAATTCGCTGTTGTCCCCGGCCTCAGAGGCCTCGGACACTGTGCCCACGTTAGCCATCTTCCTTCCCAGGAGTCACGGGAACGTCTGACACGCTGAAGTAGAAATCCGGCTTTCTTTTACATATACAGCACACTGCAAATCCCTGCAATTGAGCACATCATCCCATCAGCCTGAGCTCTCTGAAATGCAATACTCATATGGCGCTTTTCCACTGCGTGGTACGACTCGGCTCGGTACGGCTCAGTACGGCACGGCACGGTTCGGCTCGGCACGGTTTGCGTTTCCACTGCAGTTCAGTACCGCTTTAGAGTGGGCGGGATTATTCACATGTCGTTATAGTTGCGCCGCCTCTACTACCACGACTCCTAAAAAAAAACTTTTTCATTCCGCGTCGCCCCATCAAGCTCTCGCTGGATCCGCTCCTCTGCTATCAACGAGAGGAACGTCTGTACTTCCGCAACAGACAACAAAACTTTTTTTTTCTCGTTTTGGCAATGGTACGGTTCACTTGGAACCCCAACCGAAGTGGTACTAAAAAAAGTACCAGGTACCAGGTACTGTACCCAGTGGAAAACCCCCCAAAAGTGAACCGTATCGAGCCGCACCGTGTCGTACCATGCAGTGAAAAAGCGCCAATAGATTGCTCTCACATGGCCTCATTATGTTACATGTTTAATTCAGCATTCAGATTTGGTTTCCAGTCCAATTTGTTGTAAAAAAAAAAAAAATTGCCTTTAATTTCAGGAAATGTAGTAGGCCATCCCATGAATGTCCACTTACTGTCTTACACAGTGCATGTTGCTCTCTGAAACATTTACACAGACCACAAGAGAGGGGGCAACCACGTGACCTTACTTTTTCGAACAACTGCAAAGCTTTGTGGGAGAGCTGGAAAGTGCAGTGCAGGGAGAGGCCATGCCGTTTCTTCTCGAATCAAATGAAACGGTTTCAACATGGGCGTATAAACTCCTCTAGGTCATTCAGAAAGCGGGAAGAGGTGTGAAGATAATCTGAGAATCTGTGGAGAACTGCCGGCTGCTCACACGGTAAACTGCAGGGATGTTATGGCTCTGAGTGAATGTGGACTGAGTGAGCCGGAGCTATGTGACTGGAGGGGGCTGGTGTTGAATTCTACTGCATTACAAATGCAGTCCCAAGATAAATAAAACAAGCACTGACAAGATCTTGTCATTGAAAAACAGTTTTCTTGTTTAAATATAAACTACTCTGAGTTCACAGTTTCATTCTTTACTTCAAAAACATTCCATTCTAAATTGAAGTGCAATACTAACACCGACTTAAATTCAGACTCCACTACTCATTACATTTCTGATATCATTAAAATTCTGATTTAAACATTCTGATTGTAATTCTGAAGCCAACTTCAATTCTAATTTGAATCGTCATTATTACACTGATTCAAATTCTGATTCTCATCAATTCTAATTCCATTTCTGATGTACTTTAAAGAATTACGTTTTGCCTCTAATTTTGATTCTAACTCTGATGCCAACCTAAATTCTGATTATAAGTTAAATTAATTTATACTATAATTCTCATTCTTCTTCCTGATTTCAAATGTAATTTTTATATTGATTCAAATTCTGATCCTCACAATTCTATTTCTTATCACATTCTGATTCTAATTCTGACCATTTAAATTCTGATTATAACTTTCTCATTCTATTTCTGATTCTCGCCAATTCTATTGCCCATTATAAGTTACATTTTTTTATTTGAATTGTAATTGTTATACTTATTCAAATTCTGATCCTCACAATTATGTCTTATTATCATTCTGATTCTAATTCTGACCATTTAAATTCTGATTATAACTTTCTCATTCTATTTCTGATTCTCACCAATTATTGCCCATTATAAGTTCAATTTTTTATTTGAATTGTAATTTTTATACTGATTCAAATTCTGATCCTCACAATTATATTTCTTATCATTCTGATTCTAATTCTGACCATTTAAATTCTGATTATAACTTTCTCATTCTATTTCTGATTCTCACCAATTCTATTGCCCATTATAAGTAAAAATTTTTATTTGAATTGTAATTTTTATACTGATTCAAATTCTGATCCTCACAACGCTAATTATCATTCTAATTCAGAATTTTAATGACATCATAATTAGAATCAGATTAGAACTTTCGGATTAGAACTCTGATGGTAATTCTGATTCCCACCAATTCTATTTCTCATTCTAACGTGGATTCTGATTTGAATCGCAACTCTTTTATTGATCAAAATCCTAATCTCATCATTTCTAATTCATACTAATTCCATTACTACTACCACCACTAATTCTATCTTCGCAGTTTAAATTCAGATTATAATTTTATTCTAATTCTATGTTTTGATTTGATTCTGTTTTAACATGACACCACAACAGTCAAGTAGGTGAAGTCTAACTTATGTGAACTTGCAACTTCCAACATGACGGGAACACAGCATAAATCTAATTTTGATTTTGGTTTTAACTCCAAAACTTTTCAGATTAACAATGCAATTCAAACCTATTTGTGATGCTGCAAATACCAGATATTTCCTTGCAGAGGGTGCTACCCATCATGGAACAAAATTAATCAAAGTACATTTCATAGCTCATCATTATTTCAAAAGTTACAGTATTAAATGATTATTCAAACATGCTCTGGTCCATCGGATGGCTCATTGCATTCAGAGATAAAGTATGGGTGCTGAGAGGCTGCAAAGAGTTTGTGATGTCAAGATTGACCTGGATCGGGGAAATCTAAGGTGACATCAACAGGGCAGGTAAAAACATCAGCCATACACAGGCAGATGCACAATCAGGAGTAAGATGTTATCACCACATTTAGCAGCCATACTAAAGAACACCATCAGAACGAGGTTGGGACCAATTACCGCACAAGAAAAACCAGGTCCTTTGTTTTGTGTGTGTGTGTGTGTGTGTGTGTGTAGGACAAGTTGTAACAGGAGCTGTCACCCAGCCAAACAGGTGACCATGCATTCATTCTGCTCACAGCTCCCCCCACATTCCTGCCCTCAAACACGCTCACTGATAAGGTCCACCAACACCAGACCTCTCAAAGCAGCACTTCAGCAGCTGATGGACACGACGGCTGATGACGTCATTGATTAGTAATGAGCAGGAATGTTGAGAGTCGCTGGAGAACAGAAACACAGACCCCTCTGATAATAATTTACAGCATGTCTTGTCCGTTAAAGGATTCAGCTTTATAAGCAAATGTGTTGGCATGCAGCAAAAGTGAATGACGCAAGCGTCTAACTTTAGATTCCTGCAAAGAAAACTTTGTGCTTCCATTCTCTCAGCTTCCATCTCACAATAAAACTGAAGTTTTTTTTGTTCATGCATGCTTATAAAAACTAGATTAAACAGTCAATAGAAAGAATGGCGTGTGTGTTCTGGATAAAAAAGGGGAAAAAAGCCATTTTTAGAGGCAAATCGTGAGTTGAAACACATGGCCATCTTACCTGCCAAATTCATGAAAGTGTCTGCAGACCCTAACAACTCCAACTAACCTCAAAAAACCATAACACTGATCCTAATAGTCATTAATTGGGATAAATGACTTTAATCCCAAACAACCTTATCAATGACCCAAACCCTACTTAAACCTAGCCAAGCCTAACTCTAACTAATAAACCTTACTTTAACTAACCTAACCAGCTCTAGATGTGACCCTAACTAAACACAACCTACCCTACCTTTTACTAACTTCAACCACAGCTTAAACTAACTCTTGCAATTCCAGATCAGCTCAAGTTTGAGTTACTTATAATACATGCATCTAACTAACTTCTAGTAGCCTAATCAGAAGTCAGACAGACCATCAGAGAAACCAAATAACACTCAACGTTTCACAGACCCATAGCCTTCATTCATCTGTTTGTTTGCTTGTTTATTTAGTGTAACTTGTTTAGTTAATTTGGTCAGTCGGGTTCAGGCGCTCATGATTCAACACACATAGCAAAGTTTTGTAAACATGTGTAAGTGTGATTTGAAAAGCAGCAGCTCTCACCTTTGTGTGATGAATCTCTCAGTGCAGTGCAGTGGCTTTATATCATTGAGTAAATAATGAATCATTGACTCTTCTTAGGGCATGTTCAGCGCTCCACACTTCACAACAAGCAGCTGCCAGCTCGTCTAAAACGCTCCAGATCTCTGCTCAATGCGTTGACGGGAGACTCACAGCTCCATCCAGGAAACATCGAAGTTATCCAACTCGATTGTGTTGGCGCTCCTGGAGTGTTTCAGCTCTGCCGCAAAGTTTCCTTTGCTCATGAATAACAAAAGAAAGAGTTACAACGCTTCCCAACTCCGCCCACGCTCGCAGCGGGAATGATGGACGCGTGAGGTCACGAGTCGACGCGCGCTGGAAACGCTCGCGTTGGTTTGAATGACGAGCGCGTCCCCTTCTGGAATATACTTTTCTGAACGTACTGTTTTGTAGGCTTGGGTATTGAGTATGCACAGGCGGACAGTAGTGAAGTATTCAGTACTTTTCAAGTGTACTTTATTAGAGTGTTTTTCTTAACAAAACCTTTACTTCACAACATTCCAATGCTTAATATTTTAGGCTCATTTTTACTGCACTGGGTTTCATATTAGGCTAAATATCATTTAATACTTACATTAGAAATCTAGCACTTTTGTACTTTTACTAAAAAGTAAGATTTACTTGAGTAGCCTACAAGAAAGTACTACATTTTTAATGTTCTTAAAACAAATGTAAAAAATGTAGTGCAGTAAAAAAAAATAATAAATGCGACGTTTGGATTTGGAATGTAGTAAAGTATAAGTTTTCCAAAGAGAAACACTCAGATACTTTTTACATTTACTTGAGTAAAGTAAAAAATACTTCACTACTGTCCACCTCTATGTTTTTTTAGAAAGTTTAACATTTAAAATAAAGGTTCAATGTGTTTTATATAGCCTAAAATATATCTAAACAGTATATTCAGTGATTAATCAGCTGGTTTTAGCTGGTCATAGCTAGTCATAATTGGTTTGCAATATGGTTTTAGAGGGGATTAACCACTTTAGCTGGTCAGGATAGTCTTAGCTGTTCAGGGAGACCAGCTAAGACCAGCCAACCAGCTTAGGCTGGTTTTAGTTGTTTAGTGATTATATCGTTATATTGCACCTGTCAAACGGCCGGCTTTATTAGGCAGCAAGTGAACAGTTAGTTCTTCACACCGTTTTGATCGACCGTTTGACACAGTCGATCATAACATACTTCTAGAGAGACTGGAAAACTGGGTCGGGCTTTCTGGGA